TTTCTTCCAAGCAACTCCTCAATTCATTCCCTGATTCACCTGTGAATTCACTTCAGTTGAATCAGTCTGTCATTGACCCGAGGCACTTTGCAACATTTGACTTCCATGCTTCTGTCATACAGCTTCTTCTACCTGAAATGTCATCTCTTTTTTTTTATCATCTTCTCTAAAAATCTTATCTAATCATCAAGGCCCAACTCAATTGCCCTGTCTTGAGGTCTTCCTTGATCTTTCATCACTGCTGGGCAAGATGTCCCTCCTCTTGTCTCCTATAGAATATAACTGTACAACCCATATTAAACATTTTACTTAATACCTTATATTTTAGTTACCTCTAAATCAGTCTTATTTGCCCTCATATATAGCCCTTTGAGGGAAGAAACAAGGCTGTGAGTTAGGAAACATCACCTTACCTTGATGGCATCAACTCTGAATAGCTTTGTCTAAGTTTGATGGTGTTTCTGTCTCATGATCCTCATTCTAATTCAGCAACAATAATAGTAACAGCGTCTTGTGCTTTTACTACGTGCTTTTATGTTGAGAATTATTCTTTATTTGCGTCGAATTCAAACTATGATTTCTTCCAGTTTCTTTAAAAAGTAACACCCTTCACCATTCAGGACACTGCAGGCTCCCAGGAGTCGGGAGAGAGTGTGGCGAGTGTAATGGAGCAGCTTCAGAGAGGAAGTGGGCATTGAACCTCCTGAGGAAAGGTCCTGAAATCTAAATGACCCATCTAAGAATTAACAAACTCCATTTTGATCCACATCAGTGCTGACAGTGGAAAAGACAGGGCCAGTTGTGGCCAATGAGCTTCTAGTGAATGGCCATTCACAGCATTACAGCAGTACATGGTAATGGGTTTCCAGGGATATCTGAATTAGTGCAAAGGATCCTGGAATTTAATTCCCCCTCCAGGTGGGGTGAGGAAAGACTGCTCTGAGATAAACAATGAGATTGCAGTTCAGCCAACAAGGTAAAGTTCAAGGACAGACTGCAGGTCTAATAGAGACCTGGAAAGCAGGATATTTAAATCGGTAGCTGAGTATGGCTGCGACAGAGTGTATAGAACCAGAGTTCAGTGGACAAAATTTTTGTGATTTATGCATGTTTTTGTTCTAGGTTCCTCTTTTACATTATCAGCTCTCTCAGAGAGCTCAATGCCTCTTTTGCCTTCAATCATTACTCTCTCTGGGTAACTATATGTTTTGGTCTCAGAGAGACCATCTCTATTTGGAGTCTGAGTGAGCAACTGTTACCTTTCATTTTGCTGAAATTATACTTGCCCTACCAGGTAGAGAAGCAGTGATACCAGGTCAGTGCTTGTCTGAACCTCCCTGTTGCTCCTGTTGTTATGTGCACGGTTTCAAATCAGGTTATCTGCTGCCCATTACCCAGTTCCCTGCAGGGCTTAGGGATTGCCTCCCTTCCTCTATTCCCTTCTTAGATTCTGCTCCACAGTACTTGCCAGAGCATCATAATAGAACCAGTAATTGCCACCAACTCCTGAAAACAGGGGCTAGGGGAATGAGGACATTGCGGGGGGAGTCATCACCTCTCTGTGTCCCCCATTTACAAATTTCATGAAACATCACACATATCTTTTAGTTTTATAGTTGTAAAGAATTTTTAAGTTCTAAGAGAAATTATAGTTTCAGTAGCTAAAATCCCTGGTATTTGTTGGAGTTTACATAGAGGTAAACCTGATCTTATTTAGCTATACTTGTCTCTAAAACATTTTTAAATTCTAGGTAACCACTACCTTCAAAAAACTAAAATTCTTTCTAACGGAGATATTTCTTCCCTCCTCTCCTCTCCTATCCCCTTCCCATTTCCCGCTTTTCTTCCCTCTCCTCTCCTTCTCCTCTCTTCCTGTCCTTTCCCCCCTCCCTTTATTCCCTTCCCTGCCCCTATCCCACCATTTGTAGAAAGACCACAGGTAATATTTAAATTAGTATTGCAATCTGCAGCTGAAGTTTTTTCTCTGCATATATCTTGGTTCTAACAGGGAATTTGGCAAAGTTAGTTTCACCCAACGATTCCTTTAAAAATTCTTTAAAATGAGAAGATATAGCTTTTTTAAAAATTCATTTTATTTGATATAGTAATTCTACTTATTGGGATCTATCCTAAGAAAATAATTAAGAAGGCAAAACAAAGTTATCACATATAAATATTCCTTAGATTATTAATTATAATCACAAAAATCTAGAAATGAACTAAATACACAATAGTAGAGAAATGACTACATAAATAATAATAGCATATTCACATAATAGAATAGTATGAAGCCATTAAGATTATGTTTCTGAAAACTTTTGAATAACACAGGAAGGTGTTATTAATGTCTTTCATTAATACCAATGGAAAAATGTAGGCTAAAAAATTATATAGAATCTAACCTCAATTATGTAGTGTAATAGTCATAAAAGAGAAATTCAAATATTAGCAGGTGTTGTTTGTGGTCGGTTAGGTAAGGGGGATTGGATTTTTGTGCTCTTCATATTTCCCAAGTCTTCTGCAGTGAACAGGTTTAATTTTACAATCAGGAAAACCACATTGCTGTTATTTTTAAAGACTTGATTCAAAGGTTGTCTGTTAAAAATTCAAGGAATATACAAACAGCTGATTTAATATTTCCTCTTAGTCTGCATTTCCATGCTGGAGAAAGGAGAGATAATTTACGGGGAGAGGACTTAAATCCTCCTTTCTTTCCAGGAGAGAATGGATGACCACACATGTAGGAAATACATTCATTGGAAGGCCTGAGGGGATGAGTTTATAGTGTGCTCACCAGGCTAAGCAAGGAAAAACAGAAAGAGCACTTGGCAGACATGGAGACAGAGACCTGAAGTATCATCCCTAATTCTACCTTGAACTCTAATCTTAGGCATGCCATTGATAACCTCCCTGGGCTGTATCTATATGTTGGAAACATGGTGACATTCCCTGTTGCTGTCATTTCCTAAAGCTCTGGCATCTGAGAACTTTTGATCTCACTGAGCAGGTATCACAGAGGGTCAGGTCTCTGCGACGGTTTACTTGGAGAAAAACAACAATGGAGCTGAAATCTGGCTCCCTGCCCAATCCGCTGTGCGGACTCTGACTCTTATTCCCACCCCTAACCTTCTAAGTTCCAGAGGAAAGATCAGGGCTGCAGAACATGTTTCTGTGTAAGCCAAAAGGAGAGAGCTGTCTGCTGGTGCTCCATCAGCTACTGAAAGCTCCAGCTGACACTGACTGACAGGTCTTCCTAGAGTTTGTGCAAAGCCCCAGTGCAGAAAAAACAAACAACCCCCTCCCCAAAAAAACTTCCCCCCTAATTTAGGGGGCATCAAGAGAGTGTGTGAAAGGCTGAAACAGCATCAGGTTTCACTACCCAGATATTCACTTATATATCATGCTATTGACCTTTTTAAGTTTAAGGAAGTTGTCATGAGATTAAAGGAGCATGTGAACGCAGAAAGATTTACAAGTGTACCTCACTTTCAGCAAACTGAATATCTGAAAATCAGTGTAGTACAAAAGATAAATTTGCAAAATAATTCATTTCACTCCCACTTTGAGTAATTGGTTTACCATCTACATTTAAAACATACACTGATTTTCCACAATCTGTTTTACATAAAACATAGTAAGCACATAGGAGCTGCATATAGAGAGATGTACATGGAACTAGCAAATCAGTATTAGGACACCACTGCAAAGGATGGAAATGAAGATTGCCCTGATTTTAAAAGTGTTCATTGACTACAGGAGCTAAAAAAGGCTTCTAATAAATTGCAAGTTATAAACAATCTTTATGCAAAGAGGGTTAATAGTTTGGAATTTTTTTTTTTGGAAGTTTTGTCTTAGCTCCTTCTTTGAGTTTCTCACATTCAGTTTTCTCAGGAAGGACATCAAAAGAATCCATTTTAAAATCACAGCGGTAGGTGTTTTAAACACACTTTCACATCCCAGGTAAACATTTAACACCTGTGCACACATAGACATACACATTGGAGACCTAAGATACTCACAAAGGAGACAATACCAATAGAGCTGTGCTACAATAACCAATTTTCCATCATGTTACCTGAAGAGCCATTTATTCCAGAATACCAGCCCCAGTGTTTGAAATGCCAACCTTTTCACTTTCAATCAGCTTCGGGAACCCTAACCTGTTGGTTGCAGGAACGGAAGAGCTCTCAAATGCCTTTGCCAAGCATGTTTCTCTGTGGATAGAGACAGGCTAAATACATAACTTTTACATTGTAGGAGAAATTTAGAACACCTCTTGGGTAAGTTCCCTGGATCCCTATCTGTGGAGTTTCTTAAGGATAGCATAGTTGTCTCTCATTCCTGAATGAGAATTCCTAGCATTATAGAGTAAACTGAATTAGAATTCTGAGTATCTTATAACACTGATGAAATGCAATTTCACATTAAAAAAAAACAACAACAAAAAACCCAACCAACCAACCAACCAAACAACAACAACAAAAAACTGGAGAGTTGCAGTGGGAGCAGAAAGTTCTAGAATCCTCTAGGTGTACTTAAAACATGAAGGCAACAAGAGGCTGTCTGACAGAATAATAGGCCGGGAGGAATTTACAAAGCCCCATCCAGGGTCTAGTCCTTGGACCAAGCCCTAGGTATTGTTTGCAGCCTGCAAGGGTAAAGGGGAGAAGGAATATATGAAAAGGAGCAAAGCAGAAGTTGAAAGTGTCAGGAAGATGAGTGGAGAAGAGATGAAGAAAGGGGAGTTAAATGAAGAAAAGGGGGATGTGTGTTGAAAGGAAGAGAGATTAGTGATGGGTAAAAAAGAGGAGAAAAAATGTTAAAATAGATAAGATGAAGTTCCCATCAACAACTGACTCAGTTGATAACAGCAAAAAATCCCTCAGAGCATGGGTGGCCAACCTTGCCCTTGACCCATACCCCATCCAGCCCCAAACCTCATAGCAATGCCATGGTTCTCTATGAGCACTTTCTCGCCTTTTCACAAAGGCTAATCTCACCTATCAAAGGCCACAGCCGTCATGGAGTAGATACTGGCGAAGACAGCAGCGATGGGGAAGAAGTTGTGGAACTTGCAGTAGAACAGGCCGTAGTACCATTCGTTGTGGACAGCATAGGTGAAGTTCACCACTGTATTGAATGCAGCCATGGAGGCCTCCGCGAAGGCCAGGTTCACCAGAAAATAATTGGTCACTGTCCTCATTCTTTTGTGGGCTAAGATGATCCACATCACTACCACGTTGCCCACCACAGAGGTCACCACAATGACCGTATAGGCAGCTGCCCAAAGGACAATTTGCCAGGCTGGTTGCACGAACTGATTGGGTTCCGAGGTGTTAGTGGAGATGTTTGCGGAGAGGTCTGAGTCCACCGGGAGGACGTTATCCATTTCGAAGCTAGGCGGTAAAACCTTACTATCTGTACACAACCCCCCTCTGTAGCAGAGTCCTGTGGCTGGCACCTGGGGCTCAGGGTCCTGCTGAAGTCGGACAGGAGGGTGGGAGGCTCTTTCTGGGCAGCACTCTTTTTGAAAGCTGAACTGGCGCTTAGAATATAAACGCTTCTGGATGCGCTGCCTGCCTGCCCGCGGTGGCTCTGAATTCCTCCACTTTCAAGCTGCAGGAGGCATTTGAGTTCAGAAGTCTGGAGACAGCATCTCTCTTGCGTTATACTGAAAAAGGGAAAGAAATTCCACCGGTCATGGTTCTAAGAAGCAAGAGATCCCTGCCTTTATGATTTATGCACCTGCTGCTCCCTGCAACTCCTATTTCCCCTTCCTCCGCCGGGAAAGGCAAAGCCCTGTGCTACGTGAGGACTTAGGAGCGAAGTGGGGGCCCATTGCAGCGCGACCTGTCAAAGTTCTGAGCCTATGGTCAGGATTCTGGAGCTCCGTGTCCAGCTGGAGATTTTTCCTTCGCTTTTGCTGCCGCTGCCGCCGCCTGCAGTTTCGCGGGCACCTCTCGGTTCGGGTTGCTCAGCTCGGCAGTTAGCTGCGCACGAGGCTTTTATAACCCGCTGCAGAGACGTCACTGGGAAGGGGCAGTACCTGGGCTGCGTACTCGCCAGTCCCGGTGCGCAGCGCGGCAGCTGCGCCAGCTGTTGACAACTGTCTCATTCCACCGCCCCAGCTACCACGCCTTTTGCTGCTAGCTACTTGTCGTGGGAGTCTGCGAGCCGGGAGCCCCACGCACTCCGCGAGGGGGCAGTAGGTGGCTTGGAAGTAACTGAGACAGATGTGGTCCGCAGCTGGAATCGTCGTTTCACTAGGGGTGCTGGGAGGAAGGAAAGATTTGGGAAACAGCTGGAGTGCAGGACAATCAGCTTCCAGGGAGGGAAGCCCAGAGCCCTGCGACAGCTCTGCAGAGGCGGCCTGCCTGTGGCAATGGGAAACGGGCAAGTGTGGGGGCGATGTGCCAGCGCCGCGCGCCGGGCCGCGCTCCAGCTACCGAGAAACCCGACGCGACTCCCTGGTCCAGGTGTCCCGAAAACAACTTTCCTGAGACTGTGTTGAGGAAACACCCCCACAAAATATCTAGCTCCATTTCCTGGAGAGCTGATTCACCTGGGAAGTGACGGACTCTAAGCTTTGAGGACACTTTCCTCAGCCACCCTGTTGACTGGGCCCCTCGTTCCAGGAGAAGCTCCATTGGAGCCCTCCACCTGACCCCTGTGGATGAGCCTCTGCTCAAGCACTGGGGACAGGGCTGAGCTCCCTGCGAAGCTTGGTGAGTGCAGAAGCCACACTCATAGGCAGCTTGCCGCTCAGACGCGCGGCTCTGGGCTCTCCGCCAGCACCACTGCGGCGCTGCGTTTGCCTCCCGGGGACCTGGCAGCCTCCGCCTCCGCGCCTGCCAAGCCTGCAGGCCAGAGCCGGGCCCGAGGTGGCATCGGTGGTCCTTCTGCCTGTTCCCCTTCCAGGTTTGCCTAGGGGCTGGAGGACGGGTCAGCCCGCCTTCTCTCCCCACCTCCATCCTGCCCTGCCCTCTCGTGACTTTGAGGCCTCGTATCCCAGTCCAAGACCATTTCAAACGGTAGAACTGGTGCCAGACACTTGGAGGAGGCAGGGGAAAGACTCGCCAGTCCGTATGAACCCTTTTGGAGAAGCCAAGATGGAATGAGCTCCGCAGCGTGTTCCCGCCAGACTGCTGCAGGCCTTTCGAGTTCCGCAGAAAACTGAACCCCGGGAGTCCTCAGGGCGCCATCTACCCCTGTGCCCTGCCCCCTCCTTTCACTGCGGGGACTCGCAGCTGTGGGACGCGAGCGCGGACAGGCAGTAAACACTTGCCGCAGGTTGGAGTTGGCTCCGGCCCGCGCCCGCCCGGGAGCCGCGTTTACGCATCCGTACCGCTAGCGCTCAAACCGTCTCTTGGGAAGCGCTTTAAGGCTGGGAAATGTACCGCACCCTTATGCCGGGCAAAAATTGGATCCCACGCCGGGGAGGGGAATCTGCTGGTTCACTCTGTTTTTTTCGGAGCCTGGGATTTTAGCGTATATAGGAACCGCACATTGCTTTGCCAGGTTCTCCCACGCACCCGTAAACACTGCATAGAAAACTCCAGAGATGCCTTGAAGAGAGCAGCGTACCTTTATTTAGAGCCGCTGCGCAGGAGGGCTTTGTGGAAGGGAATGCCTCCTCCACCTTGGATCTCTCCTTGAGGCTTCCACCGTCTCAAAGAGCTGACAGAGAGAGGGAGGAGAAGGGAGAGGGAAGGGGATGCGGGGGGAGAGAGAGGTTGGCAGGGGGGAGGGGAAAGCTTCTCTATCTTTAATTTTCCTTCTAAGCTGTTTAAAATTATCTTTTCTTCTTTCTACCTGTCCAATAGAGCCAGGCTGACGTTTTCAAAAGGAACTTTACTCAGTGGTTAGGGGAGAACAAGAAAGCTAATTGAATAAAATCTAAATATGTAATATGTAATAAGAGCTAAATATAAAATGAATATGAAATAGCTAAAAAGTAAACATTAATCCATTTATCCTCCATTAGTACAGCAAGTTGATATTTTGAAGCAGGTACTGTGCTGGGCACTGGGGCTGGGGATGAACGAGCACTTACAGGATGGTGAAGGAGAAAGGAGAAGCAATTAACTATACAAAACGGGCGGTATTGTGATAACCAAAGGTATTAAGCCCTGAGTGAGAAGAGAAGATGGAGGCCACCTAACCTAAACAATGAGGGGTATCCGTACAGATGGAAGAAAATCTCATCCATGAAGAAGTGTGAAGAATGAGTTAGGATGGGAAGAGGTTGAGGGTGGAAAAAAGGCGAATATTTCAGGCAGAAGTTTTATAAATCAAACCTCGTCACTCTGCTTAAAGTCCCACAATGACTGCCCGCCTGTCAGCCTGCCAGCACGGGGTGGTATCAGGGGTTCTTCTCCCTGCTCACCTTCCAGGTTTGCATAGGGACTGCAACGCAGGTCAGCCCGCCTTCTCTCCCTGCCTCCATCCTGCCTAGCCCTTGGCTAACTTTGAGGCTACGTATGCCTGTCCAAGGCCACCTCGAATGGTGGAACTGGTGCCAGGCACTGGGACACCTACATTCCTTGCACTGGCCTTCAACTCTGGTGTGTTGATGAGTCTGGCTTGGAGTTGCTTTTCTTTCTACTCTGGGATTTTCATGGCTGGTAGCCATCTTAGGAATCCATATGACTGCTAAAGTTAGTTTCTCTTCTAAAAAAAAAAAAAAAAAGCATATTCATGATGGGTTCACAATTGAAGGAAAAAAAGCCTCAGCTATACAGTAGCAGAAGTTGTTTTTGGTTCATACCCATGATATGAGGAGACACCTTATTTAGCATCACCCATCTATAAAGTAATGAATTTTCCCTCTGCAACTTTGTACAAATGTATAGATAAAATTCTGCACATGCTATTTCCCTCCAAGAGCTGATATTCTTGTTTTCTTATCCTTTTCCCCCCTTGGTTCCTCTTTTCACTGAACATCTTCCTTGACACTCAACACAGGATCACCTGTCTTAAAGTAAACCATCTTAAAGTAAACCCTGTTGACAGTGTAGTATAAATCCTTCCTTATTCATCCAGACTCTTTAATACTATCTAGATGGAAATACAAACATACATAATATTCACACATGTAAATGCAAATATAGGGCTTTCATTGTCTGTATTTTGTTTTTCCCACTCTAAACTTTGCCCAACTGTTTCAGAGTCAACAGGTACAGATTTAACTCATTTTTCAGTGGCTAAATATTACTTCTATGTTATGGATACACCATAATTTATATATTCAATCCCCTATTCATTAAAATTAACTTTGTTTCCAGTTTTTGTCACTAAAGGCAATGTAACAATAAACATTCTCTGCATCTTGGTGTTTTCTTTCTATGGGGGTAGATTCAAAGTGGAATTGCTGGGAAGTAGATTATATTTATATTCCTATGCATATATGTATATATGTTGTGAGTTTCTATTTATGTTTGTTTATTTTTTAAAAGTTTTAAAGTTTTGTTTCTTTGAATTATTTACTATATTTTGTACAAATAACTAAGAGTCTATACCGACTTCATATATTACATTTTAAAGTAAAAACATGAATTATTTGCAATTTGCCCATATATTTGCACATACACAGATACCAGCATGGTTTTTAAAAGACTTTTATTTTGGGTTCAGGAGTAACATGTGCAGGTTTGTTATATAGATAAACTGTGGGTCACAGGGGTTTGGTGGACAGGTTATTCTGTCACCTGGGTAATAAGCATAGTACCTGATGGGTAGTTTTTTGATCCTCACCCTCCTCCCGCCCTCCATCTACAAGTAGGCCCTAGTGTCTGTTGTCCTTTCTATGTGTCCATATGTACTCAGCGTTTAGCTCTCACTTCTAAGTGAGAATATGCAGTATTTTGTTTTCTGTTCCTGCTTCAGTTTGCTTAGAATAATGGCCTCCATGTTGCTGCAAAGGACATGATCTTGTTCTTTTTTATGGCCGTGTAGTATTCCATTTACATGTATATATACACCACATTTATATATGTGGTACATACACAAATACGTGCCACATTTTCTTTATGCAATGTACCATTCATGGGCATTTAGGTTGATTCCATGTCTTTTCTATTGTGAATAGTTGCTGCAATAAACATATCAGGGCATGTGTCTTTGTGGTAGAACAATTTACATCCCTTTGGATATATACCCTATAATGAGATTGCTGGGTCAAATGGTAATTCTGTTTTAAGTTCTTTGAGAAATTGCTGCACTGCTTTCTACAATGGCTGAACTAATTTACATTCCCACCAGCAGTATACAAGTGTTCCCTTTTCTCTGAAACCTTACCAGCATCTGTTACTTTTTGACTTTTTAATAATAGCCATTCTGACTGATATGGGATGGTATCTCACTGAAGTTTTGATATGCATTTCTCTAATAATTAGTGATAGTGAGCAATTTTTCATATGCTTGTTGGCCATGGGTATGTCTTCTTTTGAAAAGTGTTCATGTCCTTTGCTTACTTTTTAATGAGGTTTATTTTTTGCCTGTTAATTTAAGTTCTTTACAGATTCTGGATATTAG